ACTATTAAACTTATTATTGTTGATTTCTATTAAACAGCAACACGGGCTGCCTGATGCATTAATCTGTCTATGGTTTGTAACTCTCTTCTGCCTATTTATTTCGTTATCTCTCTTGTGTCTTACTGAACTTTTAGAGGCTATGTCTCGTCCGTCGCTCAGCTGTGCCCCGGCCAGCGAGCGGATTGCGCGTTTCCCGAATAATGGTTTCTCCAGCCGCCGTTATTTTGTGTGTTAAGTCCCTGACTTCTGCGACTGACCTGCCACGACCTTTCACCTCTGAAATCTGTGTTAACGAGCGGTCGGTTTATCGGCTGTGTTGTGGGTCGGTTACCTGCCGGGCAAAATCGGACTTTATGGGGACCTGAACAGTTATAACACGTTAAAGTGTGTTGCACTGCCTGTATGTTAGAGTGTCTGTGTCTCTCATTTGTGTGTCTTTCTCTGTGTGGTCTAAAATGTGATATGTCCATGGGTTCCGTCAACCTAATATCTTCTTCTTCTTCTGTTCTTCGTCCAGTTTGAAGGAACACTTTTCGTCTTAAACTCTCTTCTTTAAGAGTTATGGCTACTGCCTGTTCTAGAGTTGTTGGCCCAGAATGCAATAAACGAAGTTTTTGTGAACAGTCCCTTAAACTGTCACTGAAGACTGAAACTAAAATAAGCTGAGTTTGTTGTGATTGTATCTCTTCTTTAAGAAATGCATCTTGCGCGAGACTCTGTATTCTCTGCGAATAATTCTGTACGCTCTCATCTTTGCCCTGTTTGATCTGTCGTAAGAGGGAAAAGGCCATCTGTCTGTCTGTGACATCGCTGAAATTTTGTGCTAAGTCTCTTTTCAGTTCTTCCCATGTTTCTTCTTCATTCTGCTCTAATCTTCTTCTTATGTGTTCTGAAACCGGGGAAGAACTCATCTGGTATGCTAAACGTTTGATGTCGAAACTTGTCGCACCTGAAAGGAAAGCATACTTTTCTATCTCGTTTACCCACTTTTTACAATTTTTTGTTTCTCCCCTGAAAGGTTCAATAACCCCTGTTATTCCCTGTCTCCGAACGCTACAATCTAATCTGGAGACAGCCTTGCTGACTTCTCCTAAAACTCTGCTGAACTGGGCTTCTACTGTTCCCTGTTCTGCCATTTTTAAAAAATCTGGGAAATTAATCTAATGCAAGTAATTTAAAATTGAAAAAACAGAAAATGTCAAATTACCTTGTTGAGTGCGGTCTGAAAAAAAAATTCTCTTTTCACAACACACTGTAATTAAAAATCGGCACTGTCCTGGAATTATTTTCCAAGTTAATAGGAAAGGTAGGGAAAGATAAGAAAAGGTTTTCCCTACACCACTGAAAATTGAAAATCACAATATATTTAAACTAATTAATGTTAATGTTCAAGGTTCTTTAAAATCGCGCTTATTTTGCAGTTCCTATTTGTAAAATCGGACAGCTCACAGTTCTTGACTTTCCTATAATCTTCCGAGTGTGTAAAGTTAGGAAAAGTTTATATTATGGCTCCAGACTAGAACGGGCGCGTCCCCCTGATTCTAGTGTAGACGGTTTGCTCCGGGCTAGAACGGGCGTGTCCCCCTGATTCTAGTGTAGACGGTTTGCTCCGGGCTAGAACGGGCGTGTCCCCCTGATTCTAGTGTAGACGGTTTACTCCAGGCTAGAACGGGCGTGTCCCCCTGATTCTAGTGTAGACGGTTGGCTCCAAAAGGTGGTGCAGGCTGTTGGTCTGGTTTACGTCTCTCCAATCTGATGAAGGGTTTGTCGAATGTTTTTTTTTTTTTCTCAGCAGGTACTATCATCAACGTGCTTTTAGTTCACGTTTTGTTGCGGTAGCTTATTTGGTATTTTGTTACAGCAGTCTTAACTGTTAAAGATGTCGATGTCAACAAGACTGTCGTTGGTCACGGCATCCAAATATCCTCATCGCTTGTGGCACAGTCGTGCCTATACATCCCCCAAGAAATAGATGTGCCTAAGTCGGCCAAGTGAATGAATATAGTTCGTATCTCTCTTCAATCGTACTCAAGAACAAGGCCAGTGATGTAACAATTACACAAGAGCTGTTTATTTACAATATTCCAGTCATAGAGGCTTCATAAATTCAATAGTATATGAACACTGTATTATCTGGATACAGGCTATTCGTATGACTCTCTACGAGTTCCTTAACCACTGTTCTAGCTAAACTCCAAGTTTAACATATACCTTCTAAACGAAGTAAATCACTAGTTTTCTCCTAACCGGTCTTTCCAGCGGTTCAGCCCTAACCTGTCCTATCAAGCGGTTCCGTGGCTAACTGTCCTCTCCAGCGGTTCCGGGACTAACTTTATTCCCCCGCTTTCCCGCCTTTCTGGCGTACCCTCTCCATCACTTCTCTGTCACCTGTCTTTGGTGGTCACGTCTGGATGAACGTATCTCACAGTTCACGGACACTCGTCGAATGTTTCATCCCTCACTGTCAGATGTCATGGCGGTGTGTTCTGCATAGCTGGCTAGGCCATGGCTTTCTAATCACCTATTTCTGTCATTTCACACAGTGATGGATTAGTACGCTGTGTGGTGGTCTGAAATGTATGCTTGTTCATTTAACCCCTTTTCTGCCTATATTTCGTTACACTGCTACATGATGATGACAATCAGACAAATTGAGGCAACAACACCTTGCACCAAATTTATTAAGAAACATAAGATCAAATGGTTTTGTCATCATTTTAGAATAAACGCCAGATTACCAGGTTACAATGTTGAAATAAACTCGCTGCTTTTTTGGATGTGACCACAGTTTAACTATCTGTATCCTAAGTTATGTACCACCTGCTGTCATCTGGGTGTATCAAATAGTAAGTGGTGTATTATTACATATTTTGCATTTGCATTAAAAACAATATTGCTTGATTTTTTTTTTTTTTTAACATTCAGCACAACATAACATGACTTGGCATGAATTGGTTGAGGGCCTATGCCCCATTGGGGGATAGAAGGCAGAAGAAGAAAAATAATAACAAGAAATGATTTATTCAAGATTATCACGTTAAATGTACTACAGTTGTGCTTTATGCTTATTTTTAGACTTGTGCATATACTTTGAAACTTGTAGAGATTGAAAGTTTATTCTATGATGATGAAGTACAATTTAGTTAGTTAGTCTTTCCTCTTGTGTCGAGTGCGGCACATAGGGCAGAGGTCGCGACTCTCCATGCACGGCGGTCCGTTGCAATCCGTTGTAGGTCTTGGATGTTTGAGTGGCCCATGAGCGAGCCTTCCCTGATGATAGTTCTACGTAGGGTTTCCCTTGGTCTTCCACGAGATCTTTTCCCCTGTGGTGTCCAAATGAGGGCTTGGTAAGGAAGTCTTGATTTATCCATTCTAAGGGCGTGGCCGACATAGTTCCAGCGGCGTTTTCGTATAAAATTAGACACATACTCTTGCCTGGATTCTTGCCTTATTTGTGTATTGGTTCGGAAATCTGACCATTTGAAATTTAGTATTCTTCTAAGGCATTTATTTTCAAAACTGTCTAATTTTGTGTCTAGAGTTTTCGTTGATTTCCAGCTCTCGCATCCATAGGTTAGTACTGGAATCACACAAGAATGAAGTACAATTGCTGAACAATATTAATTCACTTTTTTGTCAGTTGTAAGATGCTTATTTTGTCTCCATTGCAATTGAAAGTGCCATTTAAAAGGAATCACACTTAGTGGATATTAGAAACAATTTATTGGATCATACTTTTTATAAATGTCATTTATCAGTGATGAAGACGGTTAGCTGATGAGTGCCAGGAGCCTTTCCACCTAGGTCACTAACTCCAGAATACCCTGCCAGTTCAGTTAAGCCTGTGATACCCATTTATCTGTGGCATAAAGTCAGGTCCTGTGACAAGAGCCTTGAATGAAGTTCTATCAAACTAGCATGAGCCTTATGGTACCTGCAAGGAGGCACAGTGTAGCCCACATATATAGCACAGTGGCTTTAACCTTTCCTTGTGCCTGTGCCTGAAGTCACTATAAAGTTAACTATTTTATCTTCTTCCTTGCATTTGGTTTTGTATGTTCAGGTCAGGTGGTTTGCCTCTATGAACCCGCATGTAAGTCAGCAGCAGGTCCTTCCTGGTTCCCCATAGCTTACTCTGTACACTTTGCTCTTGAGGCCAGGTGGCTATTCAGAGTTGTACGTAGAGGTTGGCGTCTGGGGCTTAGGCATTGTGAATGTGCTCTGTAATGCTGGAGCCGATCCCAGCTGCAGGCCTTATTGTGGTTTCGACAGTGGTACCGAGAAGCCGACCGTCCAGAAAGCAGTGGCAAACTACTAGATGTAAATTTGCCTAGAAAAACCACAACAGCCAAAAAAATGCTGGGTTGCTTCTGCAGCGTCCTGTAAAGGATACGCAACTAAGCAGTTCTGCAGAATGTGCTCAGGTGTTTGTGGTCCCGTCAGACATGCACTGTGGGGACTGTACAGTCAGTCTTTATTTTATGCATGTGGTAGCTGAACCTGCAGCGTCCTGTTCTTAGACAGAAAATTATGTGTATTTTGTTTTCTGTTCAGTCAGTCTGTTGATGGGGTCTTGTAGGTGTTTACTGTTGGTCTGTTCTCTCCACAGTTCCTTGTATTTTCCCTTGAAAAGTGTTTTGATTTCTGGTAACGACAAGGAAATAGCTGCTCTGTTTTTCAGTGCATCATTGTAATTTCATGTTTAATTTCATCTCATTCATCTCTTCTCTTAGTTGTTTTTTAGATTTACATTTTTAAAATATATAAAAAGGCTATGAACAAATCTCATTGCCAATGATTGCATTCCGCATGGCATGAACAAAAAGAAAAAGTTGTTAAATGAGTTTATAAGTTCAAGTGAATGCTAAACTGAAGAGCGAAAAAAATTATGTTATTTAATAAGGAAAAATCTCTCAATCAAGTTTAAAACTAAAATAAAATCATGTTGTATCATTTCAACATAAACTCTCATTCTTGCTTGTATAAATTTTGATGAATAGGACAATGCTAGAGTTGGGGACGAATTCATGAGGCAGATAGAACCACTTGCTTCCAGACTGCCATACATGACTTGTCCTGGAAATCATGAAAATGCTTAGTAAGATTTGTGTTATCTTTGTGTGTGTATGTGGGTGCCAGCATATGTGTGTTAGGTTCTTTTTCTTGGCATTCACTGGCTGCAAACTTCGACAGAAAGCTGGTTGTTTGTTCACTTCTGAACTTTGGTCTTGTTCCAGAACTTGAGGTTTGCATGCACATCCATTTTACAGATCTGGCTTATTTGTGTGCAGACTGTTGATTCCTCACCTCTCAGGTAGATGCGCTCCAGCTTTAGAGGAAACAACCCTAATTAGTTTCCTTTTGTGACAAGCTTATTAAGGGACAGTGGGTCTATTCTTGTTTTCACCCAAAAAGGGCTCTGGAACCCATACAGGGATTATTGAGGTTCTGTTAAAAACTGTCACAGCTGTCTGTATTTACCACTTGTTATGGTTGTGTTAGGATGAGTGGAATCATGAGCCTGATGATTTAGAGCCGAATTGCCAGCGTTGTCACCATGGACTGTGATGGTTAGAATGTTTAACTTTGCCCCGGATAGAAAAACTCCATTACCTTACTGGGGATCGAACCCTGGTCTCTGGCATTAGAGCCAAATGTTGTAACCACTCGGCCAGCGACTCTCCAAGGTTCTATTTCCTGCATGTTTTAATGTGATTGAAAATCCATTTTGAAAATTTGAAGTGGCTTGTTTTTTATATTTTTGTTGGTTAGCCTAGCTTGGCATGATTACCATTACCACACTTAGGAAGTGATGATAAAGGTCGACAGAACTATGACATTAAAGGGAGTGTCAGAGGCACCTGATGCCATTGTGACAGGAAACATGTTTTGCCAGACTGAACTTTATACCCAATCACATGTACAGATAGTAATAAGTATGATGCCTCAAATATTGAGTTTGGAAATAAAAGATCCTCATATGAGTTCAAGGGCCCCAATGGGTAGGGGGGGGGGAGTAGAATTAGTGCTCCCCAACAAGTGTTGTAGAAGGCAGCTTAGGGGCTTTTTCTTTTGAAGTCAGAGTGCATCTACATGAGAGGTGAGAAACCCAAAAGTCTGTATACAAATAAGCCAGATCTATAAAATGAAATGTGCACGCAAAACTTAAGTTCTAGAACAGGACAGAAGTCTAGAAGATGATGAACAGTCAGGACTTTCCACCAATTGACAATTGATGAACACTAAGAAGAAAAAAGGCTATAAAAGATATATTTGCAGTCTGTAGAACTGAGGTGACAGACTCACTCATTTGTATAACAAATCAAAATGGTCATATAGAAAACCAATTTGTGGGAGGATAGTTATGTGTCCCATGGTCGTTTAATTTAAGTTGTAACGCTTTTAGTCCCAGGAGATTTGAAAGTACAAGCTGAAGGCACACAGTAACTACATTGAAGAATCCATGAATGTTATTTTCAAACAAGCATATCCTGTGCTGCATGTTTGGATTTGCCAAGTTTCTTCCGCATGCTCACAACAAGCATAGATAAATGAAACATAAATCATGTGTTATTTGGGGCACTGGTTCAACAGCTGATCACATATGGTGCGTTGTTTGGGACTGATAGAGTTAAAAGTTGGAAAACCTTTTTACCGCCTTGACCTGTACCAGGCTTAGGGTGCTATTCCTATATTTTTATAGGCCAATCCAGATTAATGTGAGCAACATCACGCTGACCCACTTACTTCTCAGTGGTATCCATTTTAGGCTGGGTCTACATGATTTGATGAAGAAGAAATTTCAAGAGAGCCACCGACCATGGAACTCTTTAGCAGGATACAGCTACATGATGATATTGTTCTACATTTTAAGTTTAAAGAAATTCTGAATTGAATTACAGAGTAATTATTTACCTGTAATTTTTTTTTTTTCAAGCAACTTCTCCAACTACAGAAATCGTTTCTGGATGCCTGGGGATGAAAACAAGCAGATGTACTACAGGTGGGTCAAGAAATGTAACAAATTTTTGGGTATTTGACATGAAGTATGTGTAGGTTTCCTGATCTAGGTCGCACACATGCACGCACATGCGCACACACACAGGTAGTCATAATTAATTGCCTGTTGAAAACTGTACATGGAGGAAAAGATGGAACTGCAAGGGACAGTTCAAATCAAAGATAACAGATGGGCAGCAAAAGAAATAATGGACTGCCATCGTGGTCAGAAACAAAGGCTGGCAATTGGTGATACAACCTTCGGTTTGAAGATGGCAACTGAATACTCATTTGGGTAAGTAAATAAGTAAAAGTCTCTTTTCCACGCCTTTAGGCTTATATGGCTAGACCTGTATTTTATAGACCAATCGGCACAAGATGGGTGATGTGGTCAGCATCACGCCAGCCGCCTTTACTTCCCAGGACTGCACCCAGTTCCCACTCAAGGCTGGGTTGACCTGAAAGTCAAGGTCATTTTTTTAAAAGGTCCGGCTCCACTCATGTGGGTATTTAAACAAAAAACTTCACTACCCCCTAACAAGAATGTTGTAAAAGATGACTACTGTTGCTGACTAATGTATTGGGTCATAAGGTGCAGATATCACAACCTAGTTGTAATTGGCAACACAACATGGCAACTTCCCTTTAAAGGGCAAATACAGAAGAGTGGCAGAGAATAATAGCACCGTGGCCGCACTATGCATGTCATCAGAGGCGCAGCCAAGGCGATTAATCATAAGTGTGGTTAACCAATCAAATTTTTGTTTAAACGAGCTGCACAAATCCAGCCAGTTAGGATTAGGTCTACGCAAAGTTCGACAGGAGGTGATTTTGGATGAAATTTTTGTTGATAGCCATTTGGCAGAAAAATCTTTTGAAATACAAGTCTAGCTTCATATACTTCTTCTTCTTCTTCACGTTCACCTGCTGTAAACTCTGGCTGAAAGTTCTGGTTGTTCATCCACTTTTGGACTGCAGTCCTGTTCCAGAACCTGAGTCTTGTGTGTGCATCCGTTTTACAGATATGACTCATTTGTATGCAGACTGCTGGTTCCTTGCCCATCAGGCAGATGCACTCTGACTTTGAAGGAAGCTCCCATTTGTCGACTCTTACGACATGCTTTTGGGTAGGCAGTGGGCCTTTTCTTGTTTTCCCTATAACAGGGTCCAGTAACCCACACAGGGAAGCTTCATATACCAGATAAACTACAGGTCTATCTGTCTGTCTGTCTGTCTATCAGTCTATCTACCTGCCTACCTGTCTAATGTAATGATCTAGAGTCATCTGTGCAAACCGCATGCAGATTAACATTTGTAAAACTATATCCATGTTAATAACAACTAAATAAAATTATACTCTTTAAATTTACATGGGACCCTTCAGCTCTACATCGGTAGTACCCCAGTGGGAAGTGTAACTGAGCATAAAGCACTAGGCCTGATTATTGATAGAAATCTAACCTTCACTTCTCATGTACAAGCACTAATGAAACAAACAGCTGAAAAAGAAAAAAAAGTATTCCAGCTAGCATAAATTAGGCACTTTCTTGTTGAGAGCACTAGAAAGGCATTCTATACTTCCCTCATTCACACCCATCTAGACTATTGCATTACGATATGGGATGGATGTTCCAATTCGGTCATCGAACGACTTGAAGCACCAAAGGCGAGTTGTACATTTAATAAGCAACAATTATGGAAGAGATACTTCCAACCTGTATAAGAGTCTTCTGCTGCTACCACTCCTTACAAGCCTAATTTTCAGTAAGGTAAAATCTGTTCACAAAATTGCATCCACAAATGCTCCAGATTACCATGTGTCTGTCTGTCTGTCTGAAGAAGACATGTATATGTGACATGCAGAAACTGCAAAAGGGTGATTCTCAGATAGAAATAGAAATATTCTTGATTCAGTGGATCATTTCTCAAAAGGTGTGTGGGCTTACACTAGGTAGCTTCCCAGTGTGGATCCGAGAGCTCCATTGTGGGGGAAACAAGATTAGATCCACTGCCTCCCCAACAAACATGTCGTAAGAGTCGACTAATTGGGGGTTTCCATCGAGTCAGAGTGCATCTGAGAGGCAAGGAACCAATAGTTACAGATAAGTCAGATCTATAAAACGATTGTGTACGCAACACTCAGGATCTGGAACAAGTCTAATGTCCTGAGGTGGTTGAACAACCAGAATTTCCAAGGGAGTTTACAACCAGGGAACAAGAAGAAGATTAGACAGCAGTTAAAGCTGACTGTTAAAGTTTTCATAGTGGTCAACCCTTTGGGTAGCAGCCTAAAGGGGGAAAACGTAGAACATCAAGAAATTTTTTTTTATAAATTGCAGATACTGAAATACCTTGGGTCTTATATTAATATAGCTTCAAAAGGTGACTTAGTGCCTAATTTCAAGGAATGTTTTTTTTTTCAGATGCAAAAATCTATATTTATTCAAGTATAGGTTAATTCAAGCTTTAATGTCAACAATGTTATTTATTTGTATATTTATGTATACATTCATCCCTTTAAAATTCAGTACACCCATTTTGTGTTTCAATGGACAAACGAAATCAGTCCGTCTGGCTCAGGATCTTTAAGGTTTATATTTGGAGTAGGGCTTATATTGCAAGCATCCTGAAAAATCAGAATATTGCTTATGTTTGGGTTAGGTCTTATTCCTGGGGAACACGATAGCCTCACCATGGGACCTATCCATTTCATTTATTTTTTATTGAATGCCCATATATCAGTTCTTTTATTACTTTTAAACTTTGTAATTTTTTTTAGCTTCACCATGGGACCTATCCATTTCATTTATGTTTTATTGAATGCCCATATTTATATCAGTTCATTTATTACTTTAAAACTTTGTCATTTTTTTTAGCTTCACCATGGGACCTATCCGTTTCATTTCACTGTCTACGGAACTGATCTTTTTCCTTCAGTATGGTCTGGTGCCAATTGTGGAGCAGTACAAATGGCTGGAGAGAGAACTGAGTGTATGTAATTATTTTTATCGTATCTGTGTATATTTATGAATTAGAAACCAGCTTTAATATTTTTCTTCCTCGTGTTTACTGACAGTAAACTCCTGCAGAAATTTATAGTTGTTGGTCCATATCTGCACTTTAGTCTTGTTCCCAAACTTGAGTTTCGCTTGCATATTCATTTTACAGATTATTTGTGTGCAGATTGTTAGTTCCCCGCCTCCCAAAAATATGCGCTCCGACTTTGAAGGATACGCGATTAGTCGACTCTTGTTGTGACATACATGTTAGGTTAGGCACTGTGTCTATTTCTTGTTTCCTTTGCAATGGGATCCTGGAACCCACAGGAAGTTTTAAAATTGATAATTTAGGAGTTGGCGATAGTTAAGTTTGTATTATGTTAGAATAACAGATGTTCAACATCCTGGAAGCCACAGGAAGTTTTAAAATTGATAATTTAGGAGTTGGCGATAGTTAAGTTTGTATTATGTTAGAATAACAGATGTTCAACATCCTGGAAGCCACAGGAAGTTTTAAAATTGATAATTTAGGAGTTGGCGATAGTTAAGTTTGTATTATGTTAGAATAACAGATGTTCAACATCCTGGAAGCCACAGGAAGATTTAAAATTGATAATTTAGGAGTTGGCGATAGTTAAGTTTGATTTATGTTAGACTAGCAGATGTTCGACATCCCAGAACCCACATTAAGTTTTAAAATTGAAAATATAGGAGTTGGTGATAGTTAAGTTTTGTATTGTGTTAAACTAGCAGATATTCGACATCCCGGAACCCACATTAAGTTTTAAAATTGAAAATATAGGAGTTGGTGATAGTTAAGTTTGTATTATGTTAAACTAGCAGATGTTCAACATAAAATAATCTGGTATACCCATTCCATTGGAACACTGTCTAATTGGTGTACCCATTTTAAGTGACTGCTTGAGCTATTTAAAAATTGTACCCGTTCTAAGTAAACTCATGAGCACTTCGAGCAGAGAACACATTTTGAGTGAACTCATCAGCGCTTCAAGCAGTTGACCCATTTTGGGTAATCAGATGATCTCTTTAACCAGTGGACCCATTCTGAGTTAACTCATATCTTAACAGTGACCCAACGAAAGCTCACCAGTGATCTAGAAAGGTGTTACTGATGAATGCCTGGGGCCTGGTTACCTCAAGTCTGGTCCACCTGTTTTAAGATTCTCTGGCAGTTCATTTCGAAACTGTGATAGCCATTATTATGGAAATATGGTGTGTGACAGTAATTCCCAAACTGTGCACCGTGAAATATTAGAAGATACACAAGTTTTATCTTTTAAAATCTTTTACATACGAATAGTCATACTTTTACTTAGGTTAGGGCGCCGTGAAAAATTTTCATTGAAAAATGACGCTGTGACTAAGAAAAGTATGAGAAGTGCTGTAGAACTGACCTGAAGAGACAAAAATTAGAAATGAGTTCACAAGAGGCAAAGTTGGCATAGAATCAGTACTACATTACATACAAATCTAATTATTTGCCCACTTAGAGGGAGTGACTTGTGACCCCATACCGTACAAGGCGACACAAAAAGAGGTGAAGGATATAGACCACAAGTTAGACCATGAACAAGATGAAAAGATAACATCAAAGAAACTCTACAACAGCATAATGTATATTTGGCCGAGGCAGCCAGAAGAGCAAGAAGGATAACCTTATATCTCACTCTCCCTGTGTGGGTTTCAGAGCTCTGTTATAGGGAAAACAAGAATAGACCCACTGCCTACCCAAAAGCATGTCGTAAGAGTCAACTAATTGGGAGCTTTTTTCGAAGTCGGAGTGCATCTGCCTAAGAGGCAAGGAACCAGCAGTCTGCATACAAGTGAGTCAGATCTGTAAAACGGATGCACACGCAAGACTCAGGTTCTGAAATAGGACTGCAGTCCAAAAGTGGATGAACAACCAGAACTTTCAGCCAGAGTTTACAGCTGGTGAACGCGAAGAAGAAGAAGAAATTTTGCTTGATGCCCCTAGCAGTTTTTTTTAAAGTTGTGAAGAAGGTAGCTATGTTTCGCAAAGTAGGACAGTAGCCTTGCATGAAATTCCATAAAAGTCAGCAAAAATATAAAAGGCTTTTTTCTGTTTATGGTAAGCAGATACACACAATAAGGTCTAGTGCAGCTCTCATATCTAACTAAAGATTAAATGTTCCATTTGTGCACGTGGTAAAAATCATGTTTGTGTGTATATTCAGCCAGAAGATAACCCACATGATCTCTACTTGGTAATTAGAAGTACAGTTATTACATATCTGTTTCTGGATGTTCATTCTTATTTTTTGTCTTTAGTTGTAATGTTTTTGCGGCGTCCATGGCTCAGGCATTGCGAGTCCAACTCGTGATTACAATGTACCACGATCAAAACCACTACTGGCTGCATGGATTTTCATCATGGTATGGGACGTCGCAGGTCGACTCAGACTAAAATGGGTTCCAGGATGTATGTTCTGGGGAAGTAAAGAGGGCGGGCGTAATACTTACCACATTACCCACCTAGTGCCGATTGGTCTGTAAAAATATGGGTGCTCTTCCCATGTGCCTGATGCGCCTAAAGGCGTGAAAAGGGATCTTTACTGTTTTTTTTAAATAATGTGACTAATATCTTGCATTATTTCAGGAAGCTAATAAACCTGAAAATCGAGCTAAACAGCCTTGGGTCATCACTTTTGGACACCGACCAATGTACTGTTCCAATGACGACAATGATGACTGTACACACCACGAAAGTCTGGTAAATGTTTTTCAGTGTGAATGTACAGTTTTCATCTTTAGTGAGAGTTGAGCAAGGGGAAGACCACACTAGAGATTTATGACAATATGAAGAATAGTTTCAGCGTTGAATTAGGAATCACATCACTCGGGGCATTCCCATAAGCGCTTCATCCTTTTCTTAAGCAGTAAGTGCAGAGTTCAAATTCTGATGGCACTAGTGACAGTCTGGTTGTATGTCCGTCTAACCTTTTTCTTGAGTGTTGGGCCTTGGCCATATCCTGTGGTCAGTCCTAGCAGTATTATTTTGTTTAGACCGTGATGATCTATTTGTGCCTCCACACTGTTCACACGCTCCTAAAGGGCCCTTACAACATCTAGGTTGTAATGCATCAGTTTACCAAGTGGTGCAGAACAGAATCAGCCAATCTATCTGCCTGTTGGTTTCCCAACACGCCGGCCTGACCTGGAAAAAAATATTCAAAGGATGTTGACATGCTCTGTGAGTCAGTTACAATAATAACATGTGTGTGCAGCTGGTTCTGAAGCCAGCGAAAGGCTTCAGCGCCAGCTTCCACCTCCAAAACAGTTTTAGAGAAACTAAGATAAACTCACACAGCACATTAGAAAGAGGCAGATGGGGCATACTTACATTTCTTCCCAACACTTTATTGAGCTGACTAGACACTTAGTTCTTTTTCTTCTTCTTATTTTTTGTTGGCTTTACTCTTAAAAGGGACATTGACACAGTATGTTGTGGTTTATAGCTAAACTGTGATATCTGCCCCTTTCAGATCAAAATATCTTATTTCAACAAAAACCTATCACACCCTTTTCCACATGCTTGTTAAAGAGCATTGGGTCCATTCCCCACCCTCTTCCCCAAAGCAGGGCCTTGGAGAAACATTTTCAGAAGTTTTTTGTGTTTCTTCATTAAAACTGTTTTTTTTTTTTTTTTAAATATCTCTCTCTGTGTATGCTGTGAAAAGCTCAAATAGTCCGCATTATACTAGGGTAAATGAACAGCCTTCTGCGGCCTGTTTAAAAAAAAAAACATTCCTGTGCTTTCCATGAAAGGCTTAACAGCCATAAGACATCCAGACATTGCTGAAATTAATGACTAAGAAATTGTCCTAGACAGTAATTATTATCTATAACAGCAGTTCTCAACCTGTGGGTCATTACCTTTTTTGTGTGGGTCGAATGACCCTTTCACAGGGGTCACCCAAGGCCATCAGAAAACACATATTGAAGTTATGAAGTAGTAACGAAAATAATTGTATGGTTGGGGGGTTGCCACAACATGAGGAACTATATTAAAGGGTTGCGGTATTAGGAAAGTTGTCAACCACTGATCTAGAAGTATAGAAAAAACAACATATTTTTGGTTAGAGAGTTTAGTAAATAAGTCACTGACAGTGAGACTGTCCTTACATGCAGCAGTTACTGACAGTGAGACTGTCCGTAGATGCAAGAGTTACTGACAGTGAGACTGTCCTTACGTGCAGCAGTTACTGACATTGAGACTGTCCTTACATGCAGCAGTCACTGACATTGAAACTGTCCTTACATGCAGCAGTTACTGACAGTGAGACTGTCCTTACATGCAGAATATTCTTACACTGAGACTGTCCTACAATGAGAAGTTACTTTTAATGAAGTAAGTTTAACTCATTCTCTACTAAGCAGCCATACAACTAAACTCTCTTGATAACAATAACTAGTTTGTTTTCTCTATGCTTATGTCCAAAAAATTATTACTGTCTACAGTTTTCAGATGGCTATCATTTTAACTTCTGAACCAGATCAATATTTTAAAATCTGGATTAAATTGAGTTGAAAGGTCATCTATAGTTTTCTGACTTTGTGAAAAAGTTTATAGATGATAATATAATATGTTTCGTTGCACTTCTAATTGAAACTCTCCACAGATAAGAGTTGGCATCCCCTTCCTCCATTTGCTTGGCTGGGAGGAACTGTTTTATAAGTACGGAGTGGATATTGCATTTTGGGCACATGAGCATTCATACGAGAGACTTTGGCCTGTTTTTAATAGAGAGGTAATTGTATTTTACTCATGTCCCTCTGACCTGACTGCTGTGTTTTTTTTTTCCACATTTTTTGTCTTACCTTTTTCTTCTTCTTTTGCACATTCACCAGCTGTAAACTTCAGTGGAGAGTTCTAGTTGTTCGTCCACTTCTGGATGTTGTTCCAGAACTTGAGTGTTGCATCCACATCCATTTTACAAATCTGGCTTATTTGTATGCAGACTGCGGTTCCTTGTCTCTCAGGCAGATACACTCCAACTTTAAAGAAAACACCACTAATTAGACGCCATGCTTGTTGGGGAAAGTGGGTCTGTTCTTTATTCTCCAAAATGGGGCACCCGCACGGGGCTGTCACCAGTATTGAAATGCCAGCATGTGAATCATCATCATCAGGTGCCTTGCTGACTGGCGTGGGCGATCATGCCTCTCCACAATCTGCAACCTCCTGCAGCATGTATCAATTCATGTGCCGACACACCTCCATCCCATGCAACAAGACTGTTAAGAATCTTCTCTTGTTGTCTTCCTCTATCCCTCCTTCCACAGATCTTTCCAGTGGTCACAACATGTTCCATTTTCCCTCTTCTGATAGCATGGCCGAAAAATGATGACTGTCTCTTTCTGATGTCTGTGATAAGTTGTCTTTGGGCTCCCGCCTCTTTCAAAATATAAACACTAAAACAATATTCTTAACAACACTGTATTATCAGTGTCAAACATGGACATGGTCTTCAGAAGACAGAAGAAAAAATAGAAACAACAGAAATGAAATGTTTACATATTATGCTAGTTGTAAATAGAAAGGATAGGCTTAGGAACAATGATATCAGGAGGAGAGTTGGCACAGAGCCAATACTAAACTTTATCGGTAGACAACAGATGAAATGGTTGGGCCGGGTAAGCCGATTGGCAGTAGACAGGCTACCACAGAGAGCAGTGTTAAACAGATACAGCTGTAACAGATCCAGAGGTTGATGATGCAGGAAATTGACTGAAGAAATATCAGAGACATTGAAATGGACTATATTAATCGGAAACAAAGAGCATGTTCCTGTCCTGATACTGTGAGGCATTCCAGGAGCAGAGAAAAGAAGAAGAAGATAATGTGCTTGTTGAAGATAATGTGCTTGTTTTCACATCATAAATAACCAGATCTCTTGGGGAGAGAAAAACTTCCAAAGATATTTTAATTGCACTTTTTATCTGTCCATGATGTTCTTATCATTCTGCTGTTAAATCTAGTCTCATAATTCTACTTTTGAACCTAGTCTCCTCATTCCATTGATAAACCTGGTGTTATTATGTTACTGTTAAACCAAGTCTCATCTTGCTACTGTGAAACCTAGTCTCGTCAATCTGCTGTTAATTCAAGTCTCATCATTCTGCTGTTAAACCTAGTCTTTTCTATAGCTTCTACATAATTTCTCACTGAACCCAGTCTAAAAATAGTAACATCTCATGAAACCACCAGAAAAAAAAACAAATTATTGCATATTTTCAATAAGTTATGACAATGAGAATAAAAAGATTGCAGGGAACAAAATTATAAAATGCTTGAATTCTCCTTTGGGTTCTATGGTCCCAATGGGGGGGGGGGGGGGGGGGGGGGTGGTGTGGAAGGATCCCTGTTGTCAGGTAGGCCATAAAAGGTGACAAATGAAGGATTTGTGGAAATCGGAAGTTTTGAGTCCAAAGGTAAGATATCGCAGCCTAGCTGTAAACCCAAACACAGCCACCATTTCAAGGGTGAACATATAAAAAGGTAGCAAATTATAATTGATTCTCATTCTGGTTGAACAAGATACCATTCTCATCATGTGTACAAGAAAAAAGTCTCAAGCCACAACAGTATCTGCCAAAAGGATGCTTTTTATTTAAATTTATTTTTACAGAATTTCTACAGTATGTCTGTTCATAATATGCAGCATATTTTTTCTGTATATTTCCTAGACTGTTCTTTTGTATATTTCCAAGACCTTGGACCTGCTTTCTGATTCTTTGTTCATTATCTAAGTTTCTGCATCACCTAATAGTTTTCAGTGTACATAACATTTTTCAATTCTTATTTTCTGTTTATCTCACATATTGTGGGTCACTCCTGGTTTTTTTGTTTTCACTTCTGCTACCATCTTATTATTACATATCCGAAGGAATGAAAACTAGTTTAAACTTGTACCTTATTTACCTAATAAAATCAGTCAGTCAAAGTTGTTGGGGGTTGGTTTTGAGGTTCCCTGCAAAGGAATGTACAGTTAACTTTTTTCCTATTTATATTTCTACAACAGGTTCTAAATGGTAGTTACGATGAACCATACACAAATCCAAAAGCTCCTGTTCACATTATTACAGGATCAGCTGTAAGTATTCACAATAACATAGTTGTCTGAGAATGAACCTAACCAAAATCATAATTATTATCACCATCATATGTCTTTGGAATCTGAATAAACCAGAAATTACATTGGGCACAGTTGAGAAGCATTCCAGATGAAATCCGCAGTGTCATGCTGTGCACTCAACTCAATAGCTTTGTTGATGATAATTCTTTTAGTCTACATATGGGGGGAAATACGAGAGCCAGCTATTGTTGAAAGCAAAAATTTTCCCCAACTAAAAACGGTAAACCTGTTTATCCTCCATATTGACAGGAAGTCCTCATTTATTGATGTGCCATGTTATTAAATGAAATTCTGTATTCTGTGTGAATCTCATTATAGGTCACAACAGGAACTTTATTATTAGTCATAGATTAACATGGAGAAAACACATCAACAAGGCAGCAACCAAAGCCAGAAGGAGGGTAGCCATTCTGAGAAAACTAAGTGGAACACATGGGGTGCTAGCGGGAAAATACTTAGAAAAGTTTACCAACAAAGTGTTCGACCACATCTTGAATACGGATCAACAGCATGGAGTTCGGCATCAAAAACCACATTGCAAGAATTAGACAAAGTGCAAAATCAAGCACTCAGAGTTACCACAGGCAGTATGAAATCAACACCTATAGCTATGATGGAGAAAATGGGGATGACCCAAGCACTAAGTGAACGCAGAGACACCAAGATGCTTTTACAAGCAGAAAAGTTTCTTAGTATGCCCAGTCACCCTATGAATGAAAGATTCAAAAATTTAGCTTTGGGACGACTAAAGAGAAGTAGTTTTATCCACCAGGCCAAACGGCTCGGCAGACAAACCACTGATTTACCTGCAACTGATAGATCCTTAAATGCTGTCCCAGAACGGACCCCCTGGAGAGAGTAGTATAAGTTTCCAATACACATCAAGACTGAAGTGAAAGGGGTATTTGACAAGGAAGAACAAAACAGTGTGCAGCGCAAAACAGCCACCCTCAGTTTACTTGATGATGAATACCCGCAGAACCTTTGGGTCCGTGTTTACACAGATGGGTCAGCAGAAAGCGCAGTCAGAAACGGAGGTGCGGGAGTGTACATTGAGTATCCTAATAATACCAGGGATACAGCCAAATTACCAACGGGAAAGCACTGTCACAACTATGATGCAGAAGTTCAAGCCATCAAGATAGCGGTAGAGAAACTACTAAATACAGGGTATTTTTCACAACCAGTGGTATTCCTGACAGATGCAAAAGCAGTACTTCAGTCACTCCAGTCTGGAAAATTACCAAGCATACGGACACTATTATCCGAACTAGGCAACCGCTGTAAATTAGTAATGCAGTGGATATCTTCCCACTGTGGAGTTCCCGGAAACGAAAAAGCTGATAAACTAGCTAAGGAAGGTGCAACTGAAGAACAACCTGACATACCAGTCTCTTATCAACAGAAGAAGAGAATGATCAAATCAATCAGAATGCCACCAAAACTGGCACAAGATGATTACCATATTATGGACAGACCAGAGCAAGTTATTATCCTTCGCCTTAGAACAGGGCACAATAGACTTCGCTCCCACATGTACAACAAATTTAAGATTGGCCAATCGGCCATGTGTACTTGTGGACTGGCACCTGAAACAACAGATCACATTCTTCAAGACTGTCCCATATTCAACGCTTTCAGGCAAAACATTTGGCCAAAAGAGACACTTGTGGAAGTCAAACTTTACGGGCCGCTTAGTGAATTACAAAAGACAGTGAAATTCATACAAGAGACGGCTTTGCAGATATAGACAATTTATTTCATGCGAACGAAAGAAGAAGAAGAAATTATTAGTCAGTTGATGATAGAATCATTGTTGTAATTCTTATTTTGCCTTCTTGTGTTAGCAGAGTTTCTTGTATGTCACAGGAATGCAAGGAGAAACATGATAATTGTGTTGTATGTCACAGGGCTGCAAGGAGAAATATTATAGTTGTGCTGTATCTCACAGTGCTGCAAAGAAAAACATGATAATTATGTTCTATGTCACCGGGCTGCAAGGAGAAATATTATAAATATGCTGTATGTCAGGGCTGCAAAACGAAATATGATAATCATGTTGTATGTCACAGGGCTTCAAGGAGCAGCATGGCATTTGTGTTGTTTTTCATAGGGCTGCAAGGAGAACTATGATAATTATGTTGTATGTCACAGGGGTGCAAGGAGAAACATTATAATTTTGTTGTATGTCACAGGGGTGCAAGGAGAAACATTATAATTTTGTTGTGTCACAGGGGTGCAAGGAGAAACATGATAATTTTGTTGTTTGTCACTGGGGTGTAAGGAGAAACAGGATAATTTTGTTGTATGTCACAGGGGTGCAAGGAGAAACATGATAATTTTGTTTTATGTCACAGGGGTGCAAGGAGAAACATGATAATTTTGTTGTATGTCACAGGGGTGCAAGGAGAAACATGGTAATTTTGTTGTATGTCACAGGGGTGCAAGGAGAAACATGATAATTTTGTTGTATATGTCACAGGGGTGCAAGGAGAAACATGATAATTTGTTGTATGTCACAGGGGTGCAAGGAGAAACATGACAATTTTGTTGTATGTCACAGGGGTGCAAGGAGAAATATGATAATTTTGTTGTATATGTCACAGGGGTGCAAGGAGAAACATGATAATTTTGTTGTATATGTCACAGGGGTGCAAGGAGAAACACGATAATTTTTTGTATGTCACAGGGGTGCAAGGAGAAACATGACAATTTTGACCATAAAGTAGATGACTGGTCAGCATTTCGCAGTGATGACTATGGATACACACGTATGAGAGTCTTCAATGGCACACATTTGTATATGGAGCAAGTGTCTGATGACCAGGTATGAACAATTTATGTCAGAATATTCAGTTGTTTATTGCTTCCACTACTTATTTCTGTATATTTATTTATATAATTATTTTGTAATTTTATTTAATAAACTAACAAGGTAATCTTCTTATAGTATATGCAGTGTGTGTTGGTAATCATATCTATCCACATGACAATCATACTTCAGAGGTCCCAGGTCATTAGCGTACTTTGGATATTATTTCCAGGTAATGCCAGTGTGTTAAAAAATGAACAGGCAGATACATTGGCTGGTGCAACGAACCTGGCTTCAACGTATTTGCTTTCTTCCATGATTCGGCTCTATATGATTACTGCAGCGTAGCTACTTCTACTGCACTAACGTCTAGGATTAATAACACAAACTGCTCTCAGTTCCTTTATACTTTCCGTCAGTTTATTCCATCACATTCTTCCACAATGTTCCAACAATTATTCAACATTCACGAATTATTTACAAGACATTAAAACTACATCTCCTAATAATACAACTTTCTTCCTCGACTTCTGATAAGCAACTGACCACGAGTTAAGCTCGGGCTTCCCCTCGCTTACTCGACCAGCCCCAAGTATCTCGTGCGGTCGCTTGTAGCACGGAATTTCTGCTTGCCACAATGTACGCCTGGAGACCATGCAAAGCACCTCATCACAGCTGGTTCTGCACTACTTGGTGGTAAACTGAAGCCTGACCAGCTAGATGTTGTAAGAATCCTTTGGGAGCCAGTAAACAGTGTGAGGCACAAACAGATCATCCCAGTCTGACGATAATGGTGCAGCGAGGAATGACCAACGGATCTGAAGAACGTTCAGTGCTCAAGGGATGTTGTGAGACAGACATTTAATCAGGCTCTTATTGGTACAATTGAAATTAAAATTTTGCACTTGCTGCTGAAAATGGGACTGGGTGCTTATGGGTATATTCCAAATGCTATGATGACGGTTCTCAACTCGTAACTCATGTCTGTCCACATCCTTCTGTCTCATATATTTTTAGTCATTTCTGACATAGATGATTTTCCATACCATGATGTGGGACTGTCCAGCATTGTCTCTCTTGGTCGCCCTCTGCCTCTTCTCCCCTCCCCTCAAACTTTCCTGCTATCACAGTGTACTCGGTTTTTTTTTTTTTTTTAATTTTCATGACATGGCCAAAAAATGTAGATTGTCTCCTTCAGATGCAGGTACTCACTTCTTTTCTTGAGTTCAAAACTAAGTTTAGAGACAACTAACAGAATTGTTATAAACTAAACATTCATTGTCTGGCACCTGCACAGAAGAGATGGAATTACATTTTATAACACATCACTGCTGTGGAGCTTTAGCAGGGAACTTAATACATTCCAATAAATTAAGACTGTGGTCAGGGCTCACACATTCCAATAAATTAAGACTGTGGTCAGGGCTCACACATTCCAATAAATCAAGACTGTGGTCAGGGCTCACACATTCCAATAAATCAAGACTGTGGTCAGGGCTCACACATTCCAATAAATTAAGACTGTGATCAGGGCTCACACATTCCAATAAATTAAGACTGTGGTCAGGGCTCACACATTCCAATAAATCAAGACTGTGGTCAGGGCTCACACATTCCAATAAATCAAGACTGTGGTCAGGGCTCACACATTCCAATAAATCAAGACTGTGGTCAGGGCTCACACATTCCAATAAATTAAGACTGTGGTCAGGGCTCACACATTCCAATGAATTAAGACTGTGGTCAGGGCTCACACTCCAATGAATTAAGACTGTGGTCAGGGCTCACACATTCCAATGAATTAAGACTGTGATCAGGGCTCACACATTCCAATGAATTAAGACTGTGGTCAGGGCTCACACATTCCAATGAATTAAGACTGTGGTCAGGGCTCACACATTCCAATAAATTAAGACTGTGATCAGGGCTCACACATTCCAATGAATTAAGACTGTGGTCAGGGCTCACACATTCCAATGAATTAAGACTGTGGTCAGGGCTCACACATTCCAATGAATTAAGACCGTGGTCAGGGTTCACACATTCCAGTGAATTAAGACCGTGGTTAGGGTTCACACATTTCAGTGAATTAAGACTGTGGTCAGGGTTCTTCTTCTGTTGTTCATTCTTAAGATAGCGACTGGCATGTTGTGCTGGGGTTTATGACTAGGCTGTGATATCTGCCCCTTTTAAGCCAGCACATTTAGTTTTAACAAACATAATTTTGAAAATAATAAAGGTATTGAGATGAATTCATTCATGTGCAGGCTGTGTTAAGTGGGTGATAATGGTGTAGACGCATGCACAGATAAGACACTATAACAATCCTCCTTCTGCTGAGAATTGAGCATAGACCACTGTCTTAGCGGACAAACACACAAGCAGCTATGCCACTGGGAGCCCCTTATGTTCCCAGATAAGCTTTCCTTGTGTTTTCTTACTGTCCTCTTTGAGCAGCTCAGAGGTATTTTGAAATGATATTGACTGTCTGTTGCAGGGAGGGGCAGTCATAGACAGGCTGATGGTAATCAAGAACAAACATGGCTCTTACCCAGAATACACTAAACCTTTCAAGGCTGCCGGTGATCATCTGAAGAAAATCTGGAAAACATGGGGAAATATTTGGAGCGAGATAAAGCACCACCTGCCATAATTGCACACCTTTTTGTTTTAAACTCTTTCTGCATCGAGAAATGCACTGTCTGTCAACAACTATTGTGTCTGTGCTCAACTTTTGTGTATACTGAAGAAATCTGGCTATAAATTTTAATATGAAGCACAGTTTATACAGTGTCCTTTGTACTTTTTTTACTTTGTAGGTATTGTCACTTGACATCTGATGTTAAATCTCCTTTGGCAGAAAGAATTAACAATATATAAATTTTATTCAGTGATATATGCATAACACACATTATAACAGACTAGGAATATTTTTGTGCAATTTGGAAACGTACTTATTTTTTTATTGGTTGCTTTATCATAGAATTATATATATCTTTATATAAAAGCTTTTTTTTTTATGTTTCCCCTCTGGGATTGCATTATAAAATATTGACAGCCAGTGATTGAAGGAGTCACTATTTAAATGCAAAATCAAGGAGCTAATTCCTGACATCCTGTTCATCACTCTGAAATAGTTACATTGGGCACCCTATGGTAAACTTGCTGTCAAAAGTGGGTATGCCTGAGTATGCTATATTTACTTATTTTAAACATACTTAATTCTGTAAATGCTATAGGTGCATCATTTACACATGGAATTCTTTTTACTAGTTTGAACTTGTGTAAGCAGCCATTTATATACTGAAGTCTACATCTTATTAGTTTCTAGTTTCTATTTTGTACGTTTTTTGCAGAGGCCTCTTTGCAAGTTCATTTAAAAATGATATTCATGATGTGGATGTTTGATTTTCTCAGTGCACATATTTTCAATGCCATGATCTTTCTGTGTGGGTTCTGGGCCCCAGTGTGGTAGATAAATTAATATACCCAGCACTCTCCCCCCCCCCCCCCAAACAAGCATGTTGTAACTGTATTTACCACTTATGCTGTATAGGGCTGGGGCAGGGGGGGGGGGGGGGGGGGGGGGGGGGGGTTAAGCCTGAGTATTTAGCCGTATGGCGGGGAAAAATCCCCAACCTTACCAACTGGATCCAACCGTTCAGCCAGCAGCTGCTCAAGCATATTGTAAAAGACAACTGATTAGGGATGCTTCCTTTAAAGTCGGAGGGCATCTGCCTGAAAGGCAAGAAACCAACAGTCTGCATACAAATAAACCAAATCTGTAAAAAACAATATGTGCATTCAAAACACAAGTTTCTGAGACAAGACTATAAAGTCCAGAAGGGGAATTAACCATCAGAACTTTGTGCCGAAGTTTACATCCGGTGAACATGAAGAAGAAGAAGAAGATAATGTCATGATCATTCCTCTTCATTGATTATATTGTATGCCCAGGAGCTTCTTTTTCTTCTTCTTCGCGTTCACCAGCTGTACACTCTGGCGGAAAGTTCTGGTTGCTCGTCCACTACTGAACTGCAGTCCTGCTCCAGAACCTGAGTGTTGCGTGTGCATCAGTTTTACAGATCTCATTCTCTTGAATACAGACTGTTGGTTCCTTGCCTCCCGGCAGATGCACTCCGACTTCAAAGGAAGCTCCCCAATTAGTCGACTCTTACGACATGCTTTTGGGGAGGCAGTGGGTCTGTTCTTGTTTTCCCCTACAATGGGGCCCCGGAACCCACACGGGGCAGGTTAGTATCAAACTATCCCTGGACCAAGAAATCATGATCACGATAGGTAAACCAGCAGCAACACAGTTAAACAGATTCACAGGATGTGAATGTTTTAGCTAATAATAACATTTAGAGGGGTTTTCCTTTAAACCAAATGGGTTTTTGTGTTTTTTTAATGTACCCGGGAGCCTCAGTGATAGAGATCACAGCTTGAGTCACACATTTATTGATTACTGCATACGTAGTAGACATTTTTAATTTATTCTGTTTATTTATGTTGCAAGGATAATTCATTCTATTTGTGATGATATTTTAACTCTTTGTGACCAGTGGTTGCATTTATTAAACTCCTGAGATTGCAACTCTAATGTACACAATTTTTGGGATAGTCAGTGTAACAATTGTCTGGGACCGAAAGAGTTAAATAGTCATTTTTATGACATTCTTGTTAAGGAACAGTGGGTCTCTTCCTTTTGTCCCCTGACACAGGAAACAGGGAATCTGATTTCTTCCCATCATATATTGACTGGGTCAGCTTTTCCTTGTGACTGGACCTCCCTGCGGCTTAAAAACATTCCACTTCACTATATATTGATAAAGTAACAGAAAATGTATTCACATTAGAGTACTTTCAGAGTGCTGTATATCTTTCTTTCTTTCTTTTCATATTTTTGTACACAAAATATTATTAGTTTCTTTTGCTTCACAGTGATATTTCTGTGAGAAACATTTGACAGTGAATTCCGAATTGCCTTATGTAAACACTGTAATTAACTTGACTTACCTGTGAAATTATTGTTTGGATTTGTTTGTAAAATAAATTGTTAAAATTTTGAGAATTCTATTTTTTTTTTTGTCTCTGTAATTAGTGTACAGGGCCTTTTTTTTGTCCCTGTTGCATCTGGCAAATGGTGCTGAAGCCATGTTTTTTATAGACCATTCAGTCCTCGATGGGTGATTTGGTCAACACTCTGCCTGACACCTTTATTTCCCAGGATATTTCCATTTTAGGCTGGGTCAACCTGGAATTCCAGGTTATTTGTAGAAAATGCTCCCCAGTAGTGTACCTTCTTCTGTTTAATTAATATGTTCACTGAACTGTCACTGGAGATTACATAAATACATACTGTCACTGGAGATTACATAAATACATACTGTCACTGGAGATTACATAAACACATACTGTCACTGAAGATTACATAAATACATACTGTCACTGGAGATAACATAAACACATACTGTCACTGGAGATTACATAAATACATACTGTCACTGGAGATTACATAAATACATACTGTCACTGGAGATTACATAAATACATACTGTCACTGGAGATTACATAAATACATACTGTCACTGGAGGTTACATAAATACATACTGTCACTGGTGATTACATAAATACATACTGTCACTGGAGATTACATAAATACATACTGTCACTGGAGATTACATAAATACATACTGTCACTGGTGATTACATAAATACATACTGTCACTGGAGATTACATAAATACATACTTTCACTGGAGATTACATAAATACATACTGTCACTGGAGATTACATAAATACATACTTTCACTGGAGATTACATAAATACATACTGTCACTGGAGATTACATAAATACATACTTTCACTGGAGATTACATAAGAACATACTGTCACTGGAGATTACATAAATACATACTGTCACTGGAGATTACATAAACACATCAAAGCCAAAGCGGCCCAGTCACCAAATTCTTGTCTGCTATAAACATTCTGTTTTTTCTGAATGGAGCTAGACTTCTAAAATCGTCTTCTTTTTGGCGTTCATCGGCTGTAAACTTTGGCGGAAAGTTCTGGTTGTTCATCTACCTTGGTCTTTAGATTTGTTCCAGAACCTGAGTGTCGCATACACCTTCATTTCACAGATCTGACTTATTGGCATGCAGACTTTTGGTTCCTTGCCTCTCAGGCAAATACACTCTGACTTTGAAGGAAACCCCCCCCCCCCCCCCTTTCCCAATTAGTCTACTCTTACGACATACTTTTTGGGGAGGCAGTTGGTCTATTGTTGTTTTCCCAACAATGGGGCCCCAGAACCCACTCAGGGATTTTGTTTCTCTAATATGACTTTGGCCCCCAGGTCGACACAGCCTTATACAGGTATCAGGTAAAGTCCTGGGAGGTAAAGGCAGCCGGCATGATATTGACTCTATCACCCACCAAATGTTGATTGGTCTATAACATATATGGTCTATCACTAGATGCCCAATGCACCTGAGGGTGTGGAAAAAGGTCCTTCTGTCTCAGACATGTAGCAACAGAGGATGGCAGGAGTGAAATAAAAGTCTGTAAAAGAATAAGAATGGCCTCAACAGCATGCAAAACCTAACTGACATCTAGAGATAAACAAGACATGAAAAATGAGAAATGTTAAATGTTATGTATATTCATCCTCCAAAGTCCGAGTACATCTGCCAGAGAGGCAGGGAACGAGAACTGCAAACAAATAAGCCAGTAAAACAGATGTACACGCAAAACTCAGGTCAAAGTAAAAACCAAAAGTCCAACTGGAGGAACAACCTGACTTACCGCCGGAATTCACAGCCGGTGAACAAGAAGAAGAAGAAGAAGATGTATATTCTTTTTCTTCTTCCTAGCATTTCAAAAACTGTAAACTCCTGCAGAAATTTCTGGTTCTTCATCCACTTCTGCACTTTGGTCTTGCTCTACAACTTGATTTTTGCATGCACAGCCATTTTACAGATCTGGCTTATTCAAATGCAGATTGTTGATTCTTCACCTCTCAAGCAAATGCACTCCAACTTCAAAGGAAAGGCTTTTATTTAGTCAAATTTTCTAACATACTTGTCAAGGGGGCAGTAAATGTATTCTTTTCCCCAAAAATAATTTGGCTCCTGAACCTATATGTGAATTATGTATACTCAACCGTGTTGTATGGTGCTGAAACCTGAACAAAGAACAAGCATTTAGAAAATTGTAATCCGTCTCTGGAGATTTTGATATAAAGAAGAATAGGTCGTATTTATTGAAAGCAAAAGCAATTAAATAATGAGGTTCTAATGGAAACTGAATGAAAAGAAAGATGGTGGAGGAATTTAAAAAGAGACCAGTGAAATATTTCTACCACACTAAAAGACAACACTTGTATTAAAACAGTAAGTAAAGAAAAAGTAAAGATCCCTTTACACGCACTAGGCGCATCGGGCATTTGGGAAGAGCACCCATATTTTTTCAGACCAATCGGCCCTCTGTGGGTAATGTGGTCAGCATTACGCCGGCCGTCTTTACTTCCCCAGGACAGCCCATCCTGGTACCCATTTGAGGCTGGGTCGACCTGCGACGTCCCATACCATGATAAAAATCCACGCAGCCCACGCAGGTTTCGATCGCGGTACGTTGGATTACGAGT